GGGAGACGTAACAATACGTTCTGCATTTGATCATCATCTTTATGGAAAAGATGCAATTAATCTTACACTTGTAGTAGTCCTTACTTCAAGATACGGTTACATACCACACTAGATATTCCATAAAATTTATACTTGCTTGGCTGTGCTTCTCTGTCATCGCTCGTTTGTATTTGTGAGTCATACTCAAATGGACACGTGATACAGAGATTTGTACAAGTTAGTAAGCTGGGAGTTAATGTTCACTTGAGTATGTAAAACTGGAATGATCTATATAGTAAGTAATCTAGTAATAGTATTTTGAAGTATAACTTGTCTGACTTAATAGTATACTACAGACACAATCCACCATTCTCTTGTATAGTCAAGACACAGTTTTCTCGTTTTGTTTAGTCTTGTGGAAATGTGCAAATCCCCAGCAGCCAGAGGAGTTACACTAGAATATAGAAGCCGGTCAGTATTATAGTAAGGTCCCAACATATTTTATTAGTGTATGTAATTAAAACGTTGTTTCTTACTTTACATAAATGTTTGAGGCTTTGCTTGCAGTCCATGTTAATCTTTTTTGCTCAGAAAAAGCTAAGAACTTATCTGTTGGACATCAGTAAATCTGGACACCATAGGTTCAGTACATTCATCCTTTCAATTCACTAAAGAGCTACTCAGTTGAACTATAAAGCTGAAATATTAAGAATTTATAGATACATAAACAATTCGAAATTAATGTAAATAAATGTGTTTGATACTTCATACGGGATCACACCTGTGAGATGGCGAAATTCCAAGAACGGACAAGTATTAGTAAATTTTGTATTTCGAAACAATAAATGTTTTGCTAAGCCTTCAGGCATTAGAATACAATTACTCAACCACGTACACATTAAGATTATCACTTTCGAATTAGTGTATAAATGACATATCTTACTAAAATTTCAGGTTGGATTGCCATATTTCAAAGGAGAGATTGACACTGGTGTTAGTTTAAGGTCATATAGCATGAGAGTTTCTTCTTTGGCAAGAAACGTCTAGATTTTATCATTTATTTTCTGTAGTGCATATTGATGTATAGAAGATATATCAATACTAGAAATAAACGACCTTATAACACTAAAACGATGTTTTTATTTAATTACTAATTTAACTTAATATGTCAAAAACACGCTGTACAAATGCACATTATAGATTCGAATATAACTTATTATTTAACCATTTGAAGCTTTGTACTGTCAGTTTCTGTTTGTGTTTTAGTGAACGCTCCTGAAGAAGTTGTTAAGCGAAACGTTGAGTGTCTAATTAGATAAAAACATTTTGGTGTTATATGGTCGTTTATTTCTAGTATTAATATCTAGATTTTATTGCGTTGTTTCGAAGAGGCGTCTGAATTGAGTTACAAATATTTAATATTTATGTTTCGTACAAATTCTGATTAAATAATACCCATAAGCTATACCAAATTGTTGTCTTGTAATATTGCATTATAACTGGAAATCTTACCACGTTACAAGTTATTATTAAGCTTATGCGCGAATTTTAAAAACTGCATGGATGTTGTACTGATAATAATATTTTATTGAACTTCACAAGAATATCGAGAGAGCGCTACACTTACATCTAACACAGGCTGTTGAGGACACTTGAAATTGAGACTTATTGCTAATGTTAAGGTGAGTATTAAAATTATTAATTTATTGTAATTCACGCATTTTGTTACAACACAGGATTACTGTATATTACCAGTAATGAACTGTTTAAAAATAAACTGAATTTGCAAATAATAACAATTTCAATAAATAAACATAAAGTGAATTTATATCTTACCTGAGTAAAATAAGTATTGGTAAAAGTAGTTCTAATAAGTGCACTACGGTTGGTTAGAGCTGTCACACACAGTGCCACTGCTAGTGCTGCTTACTGACTTAGCATATTTAAACGTTATAATAATATATATAGACAGCCCAAGTTCATGAGATTAATTTAATTTTCAGTGAGGACATTTAACGATATCAAGCATTTGAAATCGTTGTTATGCTTGTGGTTATAATCCTATATAAGTTATAATCATATGTTTTTGATGGACATGTAAGTTGTAACTGATCGATCAATTTTACCTTGTTACCACTAACTAACCGATCTTGTTTAGCACCTACATAATTGTATGTGCATATGTTGCTTGAAGTTGGTCTATTTGATTCTGTGTTTCTTGAGAAACCTTGCCTAAATATACTGGTAAATATAATAACGTAATGTTTTGGGACAACATGGGACCTATTGGTCCATCTTGACTGTTCCATCCTCTAAACTAAATTAAAATAAATAATAATCTTAAAGCAAGCCCATATCATTCATATACTTATCAAGCTTTTTCTTAAACTCACTTAAATTTACTGCCTGTACAACATCTAAAGGCAACCCATTCCAAAGGCCAACCACCCTGTTAGAAAAATGAAACTGTCTTAGCTGAAGATGACTTCTACCTTGCCAAAATTTATATTGGTGTTCCCAAGTCCTACTACTCTCAGTGTTAAATATGAAAAAAAGATGATGCATCAAC